TTTTCCAGAGACTTGGAGTGTCTGGATGAGAATTGAGCCTCTGTTTCAGTTTGTAGCACCAGTTCTATGTCTGAAGTTGCTCCAGTCCCCACCAGGCCCATGAGGTTCAGGACCAGCCCTTCAGGGGTGCCTTAGGGAAGGCCGGTGTCACACGGCTTGTGATGAATTCGTGAACACAGACCTTACATCCAGCATTTTTTTTTTTTTTGCCATTTTCTTAATGCTTTGCTTCTGTCTTGCTCCCCCCACCCTTCCTGTCCCTCCCCTCCTCTGTCACCGCACCTGCTCTCTCCTCACTGGGGTTGTTTGTTCTGGAAAGCTACAGTCTGTGTGACAGCAATGATCTCCCGCTGTGCGAAGCCTACTGGAGACAAGACTTTGCCACGCTGTCCCCCGAGAGCCTCTCGATGCCTCTGGCAGCTGCCACAGCAGAGCCGAGCGTTGCTCCCTCCCAGAGTTCTACCCCGTCGCATCCTCACGTGAACGGGCACGGGGCGGGCCCCGCCGAGCATTCCTGAAGAGGATCCGAGCGTGCTCCTCCCACCGGCCCCGCGCTGCTGGAAGTCTTCCACCTGCTGTACTACTGAGCGTCTCCTGCTGTCGGGAGAAGGCACTGGAGCTGTGCTGGCAGGTTTCTGCCCTCGGGATGGCTGCAGTGCTTCCTCCCCACCAGGACATTGCCATGAGTGTTCCTCTCCCTTAAGAGATAGAGATAAATAGACACAAAGCAGATTGTTCTAACAAACTAGAGCCAGGTTTGCTTTTACGTGATAGTTACGTGTAGAGTTCTTTAGAAGTCCAGTTTGTTTCCATGTGAATCTCAGTAAGTACATGCTGGAGTGTTGGGAGTTGAATAACTTGAGCCAAATGTGGGGGCAGTGAGTGTTTTGGGGTTTTTATTCTGCCTCCCTAAGTTATTGACATTCTGGCTGCTTTAAAGCTCTCTCAGGATGGCATCTGACAACCTCTGGTCTAATTTAAAGAGTCTTATAGTATTTTTACGTAACAGTCTTCACTGTCAAAGTGCTTCACAAACTTGAATTCTTGATTTGGGAGGAGGATCTCAGGAGACCTTTGTGGAAGAGCAGTGTTCCCCCTGTGAAGAGGAACAGGGACCAGACTGAGGGATCTACGATGCCACTTGCTCAAAGCCACAAATAGAAGCAGCTTTAGTCGATTCCTTCTTCAGTGTTTACACAGGAATTTCTGCTAACACAGTCTGAGCTAACATGAAGCTACTGTTTATGTTGGCTTTCAGTTTTGCCTGATAAAAAGATCCTGAGATGACTGGGGTGTTGGGAGCAGTGAGGGATACTCGGTTACTCTCAGTTTCCTTCCAAAGAAACGTTTGGTGCTTGTTCTGCAGCTGTTCAGCAGCTCAGGACATCATCTGCCCTTCCCCTTTGTGGTGGCTCCAGCTGTGCAGCTGAAAGGGGGATGTCACTGCACTGGAACACGGTCACCACAGCTCAGTGTCACAGGCACTGCAGAGCCACCGGTGCATTCCAACAACCTGCTGATCTTCCCCGGCCTTCTGCTGTAATGTCTCCTTTCCTAGGATGTGAATTTTGCTATAATTTTTTGGTTTCTTTTTCTTCCATTCCATTTATTTTTGTAATTAGGTGATTTAATAAAACTTGGCTGTTTTGTATAATTTTTAAGGCGTGTGTTTTCAGCCACGAGGCTTTGTGGAAGTGTGACAACGTGAGCGTGCACATGGAATGGGACGAGCGTTCCCCCACGGGCTGGGAAGAAAACCCTGCTCCGTGCAGGCGTTCCCGTTTGGGGGCTACAGAAACCATCACTAAACCCGACCGTGCTCTGGGGACCTCAACCCGTGCACCTGTGTGTCCTCCAACCCAAATAAGGGTTTGGGAGCTCCACATCTGAGGTTAGGGGCGAAGCGCAGGCAGCCTGCGGGAGCTCCGGGGTGATGCTGGAAGGACGGGGCCCGAGTCCAGGAGAGGCCCAAGCACCCCCGGTGTGGCGGAGGGACCCCGAGGCTCCGCGGAGCCCTCGGTCCTGGCGGTGCCCGGCGGTGCCCGCGGCAATTCCAGCGGAGGCAGCTCCAGCCCCGGCCGCTGCCGCCGCTCCCAGCGCGCCCGGCGCTGCCGTCACTTCCCGGCCGGCGCGCTTCCCTCCATCACTTCCTGCGGGCATCCACGAGGAGGGGACAGCGCCTCTGGGACCCGGCAACGAGCTGGCAGGGCCACCCCGCGGCCACAATGGCCAGCCTGGCCGCCCAGGACTCCTACTTGCAGGGCTTGGCCAGGAGGGTCAGCGCGCAGCACCCCCCGGAGTCGCGGAAGAGGAAATTTGGTAATGGAGCTGTAACCCTTCGGCTTCTGCCCTCTCCGGCAGCTTTGTGGGAGTCTGGGAGCGACAGCCTAATGCCCACGCGGTGCTTGGCCCCCGGGCAGTGGCGTTGTGCCGTTTTGTAAGAATAAAACAATCTCTGCTGAAACTCGTTGTGCACGTTGCACTGGGAGCTCTGGAAATCGGCGGTCTCCATTCATTGTGGTGTTGGATGTGGGAGAGCTGGGCTTATACTGAAGTGTGCAAGCATGTTTGGTCTATTTAAATAAATCCTAAAATGTGTGATTTTTGAACATTACGATATGCCATTGCAATGCTGAAACTTTAATCTTCAGTAATAGCTGAATCTTATGAGTGAGAAAGTAGCATTGCCCTGTTTTGTGTAATTTGGTTTTGCCTTCTAGTGCCTAAGCCAGGCCAGCCCGAGGATGCTGGCAGACAGCCCAAGAAACAGAAGAGAAAGAAACTGAGGAAGCAAGCTGAGAAGAAGAATGCACCTTCAGTCAAACAAGTGGTTTCTAACACCAGTAAATCTACTCCAGGACAGAAAGCAGCCCCTCAAACCAGCAGATCCTCTCCACAGGGTGTTACACAGAACAGGAATGAGAGTTTGGCCACAGGTAAGAATTCCAGCATTGCCATGATCTGTTTAAAGTGACCTGGGCTGAGGTGGCTGCTTTTCAGTTGCTTCACACATGTCTAGTTTGGAAAGCCTTGAAGAAATTCAGCTGAATTGAGAACATCTTAACTTATTCCATGTGCCCTGAAAGCTTTTGCCTATGGACACAAATTTGTGCCGTCACCACTGGGTGGCTCTCTAGAAACGGTGTTTAAACTGAAATGCAGACTTTTTAATGTATTTGTGTAACTTTGGGAATTATGCATGGATACAATCCCTGTCCTGCCAGGTCAGTTTTCTATTATGACTCTGAAAAGCCAGATCACAGAGAAAAGATGTCCTGAGCGTCTCTGTTTCCACAAGCTTGGTACTTGCCAGGCAGCCCCGGGGCATGCCAGGCCACTTGCTGGCAGTGTTGAATGATAATATGGATGGAAAAGGGAGAATTCTAAAGAAACCAATGAAATAGAAACTTGGTTTGTTCAGATTTTCCGTTCCATTCACAGCATCTCAAGAGTTCCCGGAGCTTTTCCCACAGCCATAGAAAGTGCTTCTGTTTAGCTGGTGCTGTCTTTTAAGTAGTTTTATTTTCTTCCTCTCATTTTCAGGGAGTAAAAGTGAACTGAGTTCCCCTTCTGTTTCTGCAATCAATCTCTTGCGTCAGAGACTGCACGAGAAGATTAAAAAAGCTTCTGGACAAGTAGGAGAACTTTTAATACGTGTTTCTGCACTATAAATTCTCCTCAGCCTCCCAGGGGATGTGGGGAGAGGATCTCACAAGGGTTGGAGCTGTTTCTGTCTCCTAAGGAATTGCCAGTAGGTATTGCTGGGAGACCTCTCCGTGTTCTGTGGAAAAAACACATGAGAAGAGGTGGGGCCAGGCTTGGGGGAGAACATGCCTCTGGTGATTTTCAGGAAAAAGCAAAGCACTGAAGGGGAACAGCTACAGGCTGTTGGGAGAGAGTGAAGGGTTTGAAATGCCCGTGCTGTGTTTAGTGTCTCTAACAGCTGAGCTCCTTGTCACAGTTGGTTTGCTTCTTAGGGGAAGTTTGAAATCAGGACAGCCCACTTTCAACTCTGCTTTTATCCCTTTAGGGCTCATTCATGTCCATTCTTCTTCTTAGGATAATGCCAAAGAATTAACCCCTGCAGTCCTGGAGAAGAGGCAGCGAAGGAAATATGAGAGAGAGAGAAAGAAGCGCCGAAGAAAGGAGTTGAAGATGAAGGCAAAAATGGAGAAGAAAGAAACTAAGGAGGTACCAGTAGAGCCAGAAAACAAAAAGGAGGAGAGCAGAGCTGAGATTGTCTTTAACAGAGTTGAAGTCCATGAAGAAAACGAGCTGAACAAGATCCAGAAGAAGAAGGAGAAGAGGAAAGCAGTGAAAGGCAACATCACTCCTCTGACAGGCAGGAACTACAAGCAGCTGCTGAGCAGGCTGGAGACAAGGAAGAATAAGCTGGAGGAACTCAAGGATAAGGATGAGAAGAAAGCTCGGGAGCTGGAGACCAAGATAAAATGGACAAATGCTCTCTATAAGGCGGAAGGTGTGAAGATCCGTGACAACGAGGAGCGGCTGAAAGAAGCTCTGAAGCGCAAGGAGAAGCGCAAAGCCCAGCGCAAAAGGCAGTGGGAGCAGCGGACAATAAGGGTGGTGGAAAAGATGCAGCAGCGGCAGGACAAGCGGCAGAAGAACATCCAGAAGAAGAAGAAGGAGAGGATGGAGAAGAAGAAAGCCAGGGCCAGGAAGAAAGGCCGGGTTCTGCCAGAGGACTTGAAAAAAGCTGGGTTAACGTGAGAGGGAGGCAGCTGGTCCTGGCAGCCCAGATTCCAGGGCGGACTGTCCCTCTTGTGTGCCACTGTCCGGGGGGAGGCAGTGCCTGGGGACATCAGGCTGTGGGGCAGGCACTGCCATGGCTTCCCAGCTTCATCACAGGGAAAAAAAAACCATGTGTGTTTGTTAATAAAGTTTTCTATCCCAAGGAAACACCTTCTGGCTGGTTAATAATAAGAATTATTATTACTTTCCCGAAGAGGAAATGCTGGTTGCCGTCACTCCTGATGTGCTGTAGGGTGTGTCCCTCATGCCGTGGGTGCCACCAAGGGAACCCCTGGGATCGATGGGATTCAGAGGGGCAAAAATAAAGGAAAAGGAGTGCATAGAGCAAACAAGATGCTTGTGGTTTGAATGGATTAGGAGCTGCCTTGAGGTCTTCATGTTTGGGTGAAATACCTTTTTAGCAGCTTTGTAATCATTCATTTCATACTTGGGACCTCTAAGAAATTCCAGCAAGAACCCGAGTGCAATCTGAGTTTGAGATGCAGGCTTTGTTCTCAAGAGAAGGCAGTTCTTTCCTTTTGGGAGCTAATGAAAGGGAGAGGAAGATCTTGCATCTTTAGCAAAATTTAAATATTGCTGATAGTTTGATTTCAGAAGCCTTTAAAAGGAACACAGAGAATTGTTCATATAGTTCTATTGTCAAAGGCAGAAAATAAGTAGCCTCTGCACAATCTTCTGACACAAGGGAGCAGCAGCTGGATTTAGGTAAAGTAAAACTATTTCATCACTATCAACTTCATGCAGAAATACAGGTGTAAACTTGAGCAGCTGTTTGCCCAGGCCAAGGGAGAAAGTACAGCTCAGCTGCTGCAATTCACTGTGGGGGAGATTGGTGGGGACAGTCCGGAAGATAAAGCCACTGCTCTGAGAGGAGTCAAATCTTGCAGGTGTCCTGATCCTGGCTGGTGTAACCTGAAGTTTGTTCTAAGGTCAGTGATGTTACAGACTGAGCCCAATAGAATTTTCTCTTAGTAGCATTGAAATAAGCTATTTTTTTGCCATATCAATAAAGCTCTGACGAATGTGCTGGGAGTGAAACGCAGGCTGGGCAGTGCTTCCCAGCTGGATCCCTGCCAGAGTACAGTTAACTCCTGGTGGTGCACCTGTAATATGAGACTCGGAAAAGTGAGAAACCCCAGCAGTGGATTTGTGCCGAGGTCTGTGTTCAAGCCTCAGGTGTGACTGAACACGCCCGTGTCACAGGAGCCAAAGGCAGCTCGTTTAATACCAAAGTCCAGCAAGGAAACCTCTTCCTCGGCAAAGATGGAGCCCTTCCCGTGGATATCTTCTCTTTCTCCACGTTCTGGACGACACTGCACTCACAGCTCGCCACTTCAGTTCTAGGAATCTGAAATACAGGTTTGGAAATCTGAAATAGTCGATCTGCAAAGAACATTTTGCACGGAGTGGTCTACAAGTGAGGTATTTATCTGCAGTCCAGAATGCTTTCCAAGGCAGGGCTTGAAGATAAAGTAGTGCTTTGTTCCGGGAGGTCAAGTAAGTTCATTTGGGAGTAACAGAGCTACTTTCAACCATATCCTTTTTAAAAGAACTCTCTGAACAAATTTGAGGAACCTGAGTAACTATTAAAAATGCTTTTAGCTGTGTTTTGTTTTTAATTGGAGATTCTGTTATTAGTGCAACCACATCCATTTCATTTTTGTTTGCATTCATGGTGAACTCTGGGGCTGTAAATCAGTTGAGGTAAATGTCAGCGAGATGGTTTTAGATGCAGGAAGATGTTCCAGTCTCATCTGGCTCCAGCATTTTTGCAGGTTTGTAACACAAACTGAAGCAAAGGGAGAATACATCAGCTCTGCTCCTAAAGATGCAATAACTCAAAATACATGGGTTACTTGTCCTCATGTAGGAGTGTATGAACTGTGACAGCATTTCAGTTTTGTGGGGCAATCCAGCTTTACTTAATACTGGTGAGGGCTCAGAAAGAGAATTTGGGCTGTTTTGGCACCAGATTTCAGGAGAATGGGCTGATTAGAGAGAGTCCAGTCAGAACTGACAGATCCTGGATCTTGCAGTTAGGAGACTACAAAGAAAGACTGAAGGAGCTCACAGAGCAGAAGAGGGAAGGAAACATCAGAGCCTTCAGGTATGGGAAGGGGAGTCTGCAGGTGTGTCATCACTGCCATAAACAGGCACAGACCTAAACTGCAGTGAGTGAGATCCTGGTTGGAATTTGGAAGCCTGCTGCTGAGAAGGGCAGGACAGCACCAGCACCTGCCCTGTGTCTGACCAGCTCTCAAAGAATGGTTGAAAAACAACTGTTTGAAGCTGGTGAAACCATGGAATAACAGCTAGAAAGGGAAGGCTGTTTGCACATCCTTCTACTTCTGTGGATCTGCAGCATTTTTAGGCAAGAATCCAAAACTGCTCAGCAGGAATCCATGAAGGCTTTAACTGGTGGAAGGCCTTAAGATATTTAATTAATTAATTAATTATTATTTTTTAATAGGATTTTGTGATGCTTCTTGGCAAAAGCTAATTAGATTGCCTGACAGGAGAGTGAGGAAGAAGCACCAGAGAGGATTTCTGTACAGCATAGTAAAGCAAATTAAAGAACTTCTGCCATTTTTCTTTTTACGAACAGGGAAATTATAGCAGGAAAATCACCTCTGCCTTTTCACATCCACTGGCACTGGTTTATGCCTTACCAAGGGCCAGGACAGTAATGATTTCTGTGGTTACTTCAGCATCCTCCAAGAAGCACCATATACCACTTACTCCCACTGACATAAATGCTACTGACTCTATAAATAGAAGCCTGACAAACAGCTTTTTTCTTTTTTTTTTTTTTTTTTTTTTTTCCACATCCCCCCCCCCCAGGTTCCAATCACAGAGGAAAGTGTTTTCCTTAACTGGAGCCTGCTTTTGGTCCTTCCAGCCAGCCTGGAAAGCTCCACAGGATGCTGTGAAAGGGTGCCAAGCCTTATCCTCTGCTCCCTATTTCTGTCCCCTCTGAAGTAATAATGAATGTAATGGCAATTAACGTGCTTGTAACAAGCCCCTTTGGAGGACCCCTGCAAAGGCTTTGTGTGTTTGTCACACATGGTTCACACTGTGGGCACCTTTGCTTCCCTGGGAACAGAAAAGGGATTGATTTGAGCTTTTAAGGTAAGACAGCTGAGCTTGGGGAAGTTAATTTTTATGGCTGTTAGAAAGGAAATCATTTCTTTGACTTGCAGAGAAATATTACCCAACGTACGTTAGGATTGTGTAATGTTTATTTGCTGGTATCACACCTCAATTTACCTTTCTTACTCCTTTGCAGGGAGTGTCTCTGGCAGCTATTTTCTGTGGAAGGTGGGGCTTATCAGCTCAGGTGATAACTGTATTAGCTCTCTGATGGGACTGGACTGGGTGAGTTGATTACATTGCAAAGGGAGTGTGCTTCAGCTGAAAAAATGGAATCTACAGAAATTGTAATCAAATCAGAAAGGCCCCTCATGCACTACACCTGGGGTTAGAGAGGTCTCTCAGACAGTTCACAGGTGCTGCCTCAGTGACTAAATGTCCTGGTTCTTACAGTCTGGCTCCTTCTGTGCTCCTGATTTCAGAAAGACTGAAACAGAAAGTGCTTGAAAAGCTTCATCCTCCTCCGAGAACATAATTGATTCCTCTCAGATACGTACAGCCAACTCCCCTTGCTTTTCTATCTTTGCAGATTGAAAATGGTGGAAGCCAGAAGTTGCCCTTCCTTCTACTCTTTCCTGATTTCCAGGAAAGTGGTGGCATCTCTTGTCTGTCTGGTGGTTGTTACTGCAGTTATCTGGTAAGCATTTGCTGGCCAGCTTGGGTATATTTAAACCCCCCTGTCTATATACTGTGGTAAAACACACAGGAGCAGAAAAACACAGGCTGTGCATTTTGTGGGAAGTCCCTGTTAGAGCTGTAAGAAAGAACAGCAATTTGTATAATAGATGAAGGAGCACTACTAGGGAGAGAAGGCTCCAAGGGAGAGAGCAAAAAGAGCAATTGTGTCTCAATCGGGGTGGTACTGACACACAAACAAATGCTTAGGTACAGAATATTCCAGTTACATTTCAGTTCAGGCCTTAACAGAGGTGGTTGTCTGTCTCTTCAAACAGTCCAAACTCATTCCAGTGTCACCAGGGACAGCTTTGTAGCTGTCAAACATTGCAGCTTTCAAACACTGGGGATTTTGTAACTTTGAGTATTCTGATGACTGTGACTTAGGGATTCTCTTGAGCAAACTCAAACATTGTTTGAAGGGAATCTGAGATCAGGCATTTCTATGAATTATTAAATTATTGATTATTAAATTATTACTCATGATCCCATATTTCTGATGTTTCAATTTGCTGCATTTTCACCTTGTGTGTAGTTGCATTTATGCCTTAACAGCAGCATATTATGTTAAAATTTAAACACACCAGATCCTACACTATTAATTAAAGTAGATATGGAGCTGGCTAAAGCTACCTTTCAAAATCTGTGCCAGAGCCCCAGATCATCTTGGAAAATCCTAGGAAGATTTCCTTCAACATTACCTCTTAAAATGTTTCTCTGCTCTCCCAGGATTACAGCTGGGAGTGGAAAAGTGCACTACCTTCCCTACTACCTTCCTTGCCCTGAAATCTTGTAAGTACCCTGGTTTGTGTGCACTGAGTAACACAGATCACAGGAGCTGTTCCTCACTGACAGCACACGCAGTGATTAACAAGTCACTTGTTCCTTATTTTATGAATCTATAATGAGTCACTGTCTTAGAACAGAAAGGTAACAATGCAGCCTGTGCTGTTTGGACCTGCCTGCCCCACAGGACAGCTCTGGATTTGCACAGCCTGAGTGAGGCTTTGTTTGTGGTGGGTTACAGAGACCAGGACTAACAGGTTAATGTCCCTTACCAAGACCTACTGTTCTTGTAAAAACAAAACTGTGCAAATAGAAGAGATGATGTTTTACAGAGGCATTCCTGGTTATTTCAAGCCACAATAAACCATTGTGTCCAGTCAGATGCTTATTTCTCTGGATGCTGTTGGCAGTGTGATGTATTTTGGGTAGTTCAGCCCTCCAGGTGACCAGGAACAGCTATGCAGGAAGTGGAGCACACACATGACCAGCACTGACAGTCCCCAACATGCCTGTGCTTCCCTGGATTTTGAGCCCTAAACCCTGATTTACCCACAGGCTCGGATTGCTGCCAGTATCTCTCTGCCCCTGTTGTGTTTTGTGTTCTGTTCCAAAACTGTCACTTGTCTGGCAGCCCTGGAAGGTGTGTACAGGTGATGCCTAACCCTGCAGCTGGAGCTGCACTTGGACAGCTGTCAGTGCAGCAGCAGGTCCTGAAGCTGAACCTGGTTCATATTTTAGGAAAGCATAACAAGCCCTTTCTTCTTCCACCCCATCATGCAGCTCCATAAAACTCCAATATACAGAAGAGAAGCTAATCCAGCTTTTCCCCCAGTAAGTACTGCCTTTTTATCTCCCGACCTTTAAACTGCTGTTCCTCTCTTCCAGGCATATTCATGTATTATTCAGTGGATATTTCTTCCTTTTTACAGATTATTTTATCAGCAGCCAAGAGTGCTGGCGCCAAAGTAAGTTTCTTTGTTTGAACTTTATTTCTTCTGACTTTGGTTTGGGCACTGTGCAGCACTCACAGTTCCAAAGTCCTGGGACAAGCTGAAAAGGACCTTGTTCCATGAGAATCCAAAACCATATTGGGTGTGTGCTGCTGTAACGTTGAGTTTAGTCACTTGTTAACACACTTCCTGTTAATTCCCAATTAATACCTTAGCACACACACACAGTCTGTGTGGTTGCTGCCAGGAACTCTTTTTTGAGGTGGGAGATCTGTAATAGCTGTAAGACAGAAGTACCTTCTGGAACTGTGTAACCAGCTGTGGGAGAGCTTTGAACCCATTTCAGGGCAAAATCAAGCAGGTGCTTTTTATGACCTTCAGCAGTGGTTTCAGCTTAAACAAGTTTCTATGAGTTGCAGTCAAATCAGTGAGTTTAAGCAGACAGAGAAGGTTTGGGGCAGCAGCTCTAAGAAGTGGCTTAGACAAACTCTCTCTGCAGCTCAGGTAGTTACAGCCTCCTTTGGGCTCACTCTTATCTCGAGCAGTTCACCTTCAGCAGCCACATTCTTTTGTATGTTAACAAACACACCCTGTTGGTACATATTTATATATATATATATATATATGTATTTTTCCCCCTTGATGTTTCAACTGGATATGCTTGGCCTGAATATTTATCCCTTCCATATTGGAATAAATTTATGTGATAAATCAGCTGGTGTATACTGGACTAAATGAGGAGAGAATCTTGTAGCTTTTAGTGCTCTGTGTCTTCTGGAGGCTATTCAGCACTGAGAGGAGGGATACCATGACCATGAGTCACTGGTAAATCCAGGGCAGCCCTTAAAATTTAAAAAGCTCTGCTTAGAGAAGTGAACATGCAGTTTTCCTTCTCTCTCTTTCCCCCCCCCCCATCCAAAAAAAGATAATTAACCCATAAGGAGAACAGGCCAGTTATTACATTTTCTCCAACCCAAATTCTTCTTCCTGTGTAATTTAATCTTTTAATCACAGTCATTGCTATAGGAAGGAGTCAAATTGTTATTCTAGTACCCTCTCAGACTGAAAGAATGAGATCTGGGTTGGGAGATCTAATTAGATCTGCTGCCTGAGCCAGCAAGCTGCTCCCCACAGCTCCCTTGGTTTGGTTCTGGTGCTGTTATTGCTTTGGGAGTGTGTCAGATGGGAGACTGGCAGCCTCCACGTGTGGCCACGTGCCTTGGGTGACAAATTTCATTAGCAGAGGGCTACAGCTCATGGTCTGGGGCGAATGGGAGCAGGCTGGGGTAAATTGCACGTCATAATGACATCTCGTTTTAAAATCAAAAAGGTAAGAACAGAACACTGAAAGCAAAGCAGCGAGTTGAAACAGCCTTGCATTGCTGTAATAGGGCATAATCAGACTCTGCTGCATGTGTATTCAGTATTTCCACGACCCTCAGAGGAGATTAAGGATTCTTTCTAACTCTGTTACACATTTGAATGCTGGCTCACATGCAGAATTCTAAATTATATATGAATGTGCTGATGCTATATATAAATACTGGAAGAATAAACTGTCATGCTGCAAGCTGTGTTTTAATCACACAGCAATGGGGTATATTTTTATAGTAATTTTCATATTATTTCATATTATTACTTGTGTTTTAATCTGCATGTAGCAATCTGCATCAGACTGATAGCAAGTGTGCACAGCTTCTCATTCTGTGAGTTCAGTGGTCATTAAACTCTCCGCAGCAGAAAAGTCCTGTGAGCTTAAATGAGATTTCAGTAGATCCTCGGGTTTTTACCAATCTCTTAAAGTGCTTAATTTCATCCCAGGAACTGAAATGTCCATGCTCAGTAACCTCAAATGGGAGTGCAGGGAAAAAAAATCTGAAGGTAATACCCTCCATAACGAGTCAGTGCTGGTACAAACACTCTTCTAGCTGCCTTTTTGGTGTTTCAGTCCCATTTAGCGGCCTCAACACCAAACAGAACAGTTCCATCTCACTAACATTCCCTTTCTTTTCCCTCAGGCGCCAGGATGTGCTGACAGTCACACCATGGCTGGCCCCCATCGTCTGGGAAGGAACCTTCAATCCTGAGATCCTGGACAGTGCCTACAGGCCACTGAACCTCAGCATAGGGGTGACAGCCTTTGCCGTTGGAAAGTAAGGGAAGCACTCAGTGGGCACAGGGCTTGGGGAGATGCACTTCACTGGGGAAAGATCAGTTTGGCTTTTCTTGTCCTCAGCAAAGCTGAAATCTGTCCTAATCTGTCGTAGACCTCTATGCCCGTGTAGTGTGTCCATAATCACACAAGCCCACAAGATGACAGCACTTAAAGTACCCAAAAGTTGGTATTTTTTAAGAACTAGCAGGTGTCTTGGGAGTTAGAGCTGCAAATTGGGGGTTGCTTGGTCAGAGTGGGGATAATTCACATATTCCTTGTTCTCCACTATACTTTACCTACTGCATGTGTACTGTGTGGATCCCTGCAGTGATAGTCAGCCAACACTCTTCACCCCTTCTTCCATTCACTAAAGTACCCTTCATAATCCCCTTGGAATCACAGAGTGGTTTGGGTTGGAAGGGACATTAAAGCCCATCTTGTTCCACCCCTTGCCATGGGCAGGGACACCTTCCACTAGCCCAGGTTGCTCCAAGCCCTGTCCAACCTGGCCTTAAACACTTCCAGGGATGAGGCAGCCACAGCTTCTCTGGGCAACCTGTGCCAGGGCCTCCCCACCCTCACAGGGAAGAATTTCTCCCTGATACCTAATGTAAACCTGCCCTCTGTCAGTTTGAAGCCATTCCCCCTTGTCCTATCACTGCATGCCCTTGTAAAAAGTCCCCCTCCAAACAAAGTCCCTCCTTGTCTCTGCTGAGCTCTTCACGTGTGGTGCCCGCACAGGTACACGAGGTTTGTGAGGCGCTTCGTGCAGTCGGCAGAGGAGCACTTCATGAAAGGCTACCGGGTGAACTACTACATCTTCACTGACAGCCCCGAGACAATGCCCAGTGTCCAGCTGCAGCCTGGACGAAGGTTTGTCCTCGTCCCCATCAAGAAATACTCCAGCTGGCAGGAGATCTCCATGCGCAGGATGGAGGCCATAAACAAGCACATAGCAGAGGTGAGCCACAGGGAGGTGGAGTATCTCTTCTGCCTGGACATCGACATGGTGTTCCACAACCCCTGGGGGCCCGAGACCCTGGGGGACACAGTGGCAGCCATACACCCTGGGTACTTCAGTGTCCCTCGGAACCAGTTCCCCTACGAGAGGAGGAGCTCCTCAGCAGCCTACATCCCTGCTGGGCAGGGGGACTTCTACTACGGAGGAGCCGTGTTTGGAGGGCTGGTCAAGAAGGTCTTTGAGTTCACCAAGACTTGCCACATGACCATCCTGACGGACAAAGCCAACGGGATCATGGCAGTCTGGCAGGAAGAAAGTCACCTCAACAGGCACTTCCTCTCCCACAAACCCTCCAAGGTGCTTTCTCCGGAGTATATATGGGATGACAGGAAGCCAAAGCCCCCTGAAATTCGCCTCATACGTTTTTCCACGGTGGATAAGAACTACAAAGAGATAAGAGATTGACCACCTGATCCCTGCAGAGGTGTCCTCCCCACAGTCAAACCCATGGAAATGAACTCACACAGAACATGCTCCACCATGAGTTTTTGTTCCCAGTATGGACAAACTGAGAAAGGAACGTGTGGACAGTTTCTCTGGAGAGAACAGGAGTCTAAATGCATTTCAGAAGCAGCAGCCAAAGTGTAGATGAGACTGAAAAGGTTTCTAGGTTCCTAATCTTTGTAAATACAAGCATCCTGCTTGAGGCTGCAGCACTCAAAAAGGCATCCAAAAGGCCAGTTTTCCAAAGCAAGGATGTAGATGCCTTTGCCTGAGTGTTTTCCTGAGGCCCAGCAGAAACTTAACAAGGTCAAAATGGTATTTGACATGCCTGTGGAGAAAATCTAGAGTTTTGGTAAAGACTTTTTCACTTAAAAAGAAAAAGAATTTTGCAGGGCAATAAATTTTCATGCATTGTGATTTAAACTAATTCCTTTTGTCAGAATCAGGAGGAAACTTGCACTCGAAGCACGTTATCCCTGACTTATGTGCAGCAGGATTTCTTGGACCTTCTCAGCAGAGAACTGGTGCCAGCCACTGCCAGTAAGAGCCTGGTCTGACAGGACAAATAGTGTGAACTCACATAGCAGTTATCTTCCAAATTCCAATCTGTGCTTTGGAGACCCAAGTTTAGACAGAACTGGCACAGCTCAGACCCAGACTGAACTTCTTTGGGTTTATTTCAATCACAGATGTGCTCTGAACCTTTTCCCTGGGTCACATGTCTCTGTGGATCATGTAATCTTTTCCAACGCAGAAAATCTGGTTCTGAGAGACGTTCCTGTTCCCATCCTTTGCTTCAGCCCTTTCCAACTCCTCTAAGCTCTGAGAAATAAATTGGCGAGAAGCCGCCGGAGCTGACAGCAGGAGCTGATGCCTTTCCAGCAAACAGGGTGACTTCATTTCACAACGCAATGCTCTGGTGAAGCTGGGAGTTCAGCCTGGAGCTGGAAGCGGGCTGGGGTTAACATTTTCCCTCTTTGGATGTGGCGAACCCTCTTTGGATGAACCAGGCGTTGTGCAGCCTTCAAAGCCTGACAGCTCAGCCGGGTGAACACGGGGGGAGCAGCCACGGCTCGTCAGCGACCGTGGCTGTCAGCTGAGGTCACAGCACGGGGGTGCGTGTGCCACCTCCCCATCACAGCAGGGCTGCCACAAACATCATCTCCCTTACGGCCCCGGGCGCTGCTACCAAAGGGCTGCGCGTCAGAGCCCTGCTCGTTTAGCGAGAGCAGGGAGAGGGGCCGCGGGGAGCTGCAGAGAGTGGCAGGGAGAGGAGGAGCAGGGGTGAAAGGGTGAAGCTGCCTGTTTCTAAGGGAACGGTCTAGGAAAAAAAAAAAAAAAAAGGGGAAAAAAAAGAAAAAAAGAAAGAAAAGGGGAAAAGGTTCATTTGGCAGAGAGAGGGAAAACGGGGAAGAGGTGCCTGACTGTTCCTGCTTCTCCTCACATGAGAAAATTGCTGTATGGCAGCGAATCAAGTATTCAAAGCTTTAGGGCCCCACCACTGATTGCAGATGACTTAACGAGCCATTTCAGTCCTGTGTGAGCAGGCTGGAAATGGCACTTGCCACTGTCATTGTAGGCATTTCATCTTCCAGAAGACTAATTAGAAAAGCTTTCACGGTAGCCATAATATAGATAAGGTGCACAGAATACCTCCAGCCCAGAAGCCCCCGTGGCAGCTGGGTCTGTTAATTTGTGCTTTATCCAGCAGAGGGGCTTTTCTATTATATTTTCTCCAGACTGTTCTCAGTGATGTGGTGCAGGAGGAAGACACCCCTTTACATAACTAAATCAGATCTGAATCCCCTGAGATGTCTCTTTGGTAACCAGGCACCTCATCTAAGCCAAAAGGGTGACAAAAGGTCCATATCCGAATATTTCCAAAAAGATATATTCCCAGCAAACCCAGGATTAATACTGTTTCATATTTCTAGAACAGTTAGTGCCTGAAGGCCATGCTGAAACTGGGTTCTCATTGTGCCAGTTGTTACATATATGCATATGGATTCTTTACAAGCCAGAAGGAACTGTCTAGTCTGCTCTGCACAGGACAAGGCAGATAATTTTATCTCCTGGTGTCAGTACCAGGACGTGGCTGGGCTGGGCTAGATCTCTTAGAAATGGCATTCAGATCCAAGAAAAACATGAAGTTATATAGCAGCCACAAATCCATAGATCAGCTGTGCCAGTGGCCAATTCCCCTTATGCCTTTATTCTGCTTGAAATTATGCTGGTTTTGCAGCCATAGGGCTTCACTCTGCCACACTAAATTATTGAACTCCTGTGCAGATACTCATAAATCCACCATGAGGGGAAGTTCTCCAGCACAGACTGGGTGATAGAAGGTGGTCTGTATTTCTGGGGTACCTGTTTGGAAAAACTTGTGTGAAAGGCTTGGTCCCAGCTCTGCATCCGAGCTGCCTTTTGGCTGAATCCTCGACCCTCTGATTGACACCATATTGGCCTGATTTGTGCCGTGCCAAACATGTTTATTTTCCTGGCAGCCCCGCAGCTTCTCCCCTGGGGAATATCTTGTGTTATGTGACACACTTCTGCTCGACAGGGCTGTGGTTTGAAGCAGTACCTAGAAACTCCCTGTGTCTCCAGGGAGCAGCAGAACATGTCTGCAGAAACACACCCCCCAGCGCCGTGTGGGGGCTGCTCCCTGAATCAGCTCCTGCCCTCCTCTAATTAACGAAAGCCTGGACTTGTGTTGTCATCTCCTGCTGATTAATCCCCTTCCCCCAACGTCAGCAGCAAGCTTTCCTTCTCCCACTTGGATTGTGCAGTCTGGGGCTTGTGAGCACTGTGGGAGCTTCACAAGGAGCTGCTTTCTGATCTGCTTTCCCCACCAACACCCAGTGGGGGAACTGAGGCACAGGGCAGGGAATGCCTTCCAGACTGTCACTCCTGCATGGCAGGTCTTCCTCCATTCACCACGGGGGACAGTGTTGTCTTATCTGTTCTTGTGCCAAAGGAATTTGGGCTTGGAAATAGAGAGAACTGCAGGAAAAGTGAATCGCCACACGTAAATAAATCACCTGCCTGGGGATCTGATTGTGCTCTCAAGGTATTTCCCACTCAAGCCCTGTTTGCATTAACCAAGCCTCAGAGCAGTAGCTTGTTGCCTTCCCAAGGGCCCCTTGTTCCTTCCATCTCTTTCTGCTCAGCTGGAACAGACTCATCATTCATTGTCCATCTAATTTAAGAACCCATTTGACAGGCTGTTTCTCTCCTAGTCCCAGCTGGTGTCTTGTACAGTGCATCCACCCCCTGAGGGAAAACCTCTCTGGGGGGTGAGAAACAGAAACTTCCAGCACTGAATATGAGTCAAGGTGGGGCCAGACTGTGATTCTCTTGTTCTCCCCACTGACAGGACAAGGATCATTTCCACTAAGCCAGACTAGGACCCTTTTTTGCTCCTATTTGGATTTCCCATAACCCTCCCATAGGTGATGTTCCCTGACATTATTGACCAGAAAGGTCATTTTGAACCACTTTGGTACCCTGCACTAGTTATGAAAGACCTGCCCTAGTCAAACCTTCTCTGGGTGAGATCTGGGGCACGGAAACGAGATGGTCTTTGAACAGACATGGACGAGGAAGGATAAGAACATCAGTTATATATTCCGTGCACAAAACCAGCTTGTGGAACAGCCACGTGCGTCTGGCTGACTTAACACAGCTAAAGCAGCACAGTGGTGGAAAAGAGCTGGAAGGCTGGGAGCTCCCTGCCAGAGCTGTTGGGTTCACTCTCCTGCCCTTTGTCTCACCTGTTCAGCCTGGGGCTCTTCGAGCAAGGGGCTGTCTCTGTGTTTTGTTCTGTGTTTGCACAGGGACTAGTCTGGTTTGCTCACTAGGGAATGTGAGATACACAGAATGAGTTTCTTTCTCAGTGGGGATTTGCTCTGATCTCAAAGGGCAGCTCTTAGCACAAAGGTCACTATTTTCTCACTTGAATCCCACCTGCTCTGCTTCACCTCACTGCCCCAGCAAGTCCCTGCGGGATCCCCAGGGATGGAACACTCAGAGAGCAACAGCTGCTCTCCAGGTGGAGTGACAATGACAGGACAGTGACAGGCACTTCCAGGGACAGCAGGAACTGGAGAAGGAGTTCCAGGAGTGGGTTGTACTTTACTCACACTAAACCCCCAGTCCTGTAGTTCTGCTCCACACAATCAAATAATTTAGGAAAGCATCACTAGCAAAACGCATCTGAGGAGTGACATTTAAATGTCTGCCTGCCCACCCAACTCCCTCCTTTCTCCATGAGTGTTGTTGTACTGACTTGACTTTTCTTGTGCTATATTTAGCTTAAACATAGATCCACCAAATGTTGCTGTTTCATGTAATACTAGTGTAAAGCCTTAGGAATAGAGAGGCAGTTTTAACCAGAAATCTCTACTTGTATGCCCACCTCATCCCCCCTGCTCCCCTGCTGAACCTTTAGCTAATTTAAAGCAAGCCAGATGAGTACAAACTACCTTTAAAAAGTACTTCATTACGGTGTGGTTTTAGTGAGTTTTGCCAGCAGCAAATTACATAGTTCTAGACCTTTTGAAGTGTGCGTTTTCCCCACTGTTGAGCACTGACACCGTTACTATAATTAGAATGATGTTGCTCTGTAGCAGCATCTAGTGCCAGAGCCGGAGCCCTGGCAGCACCTTTTCCTTTCCTGGCAGCGCTCCCCAGTCAGAGCTGCTGGTTCTGCTGGCCTGGAGCCACGGAGGAGGGTCAGGTGCCATGGGCTGTGCCTTGTCACTCATTCCCACTGTCACTCATTCCCGGGCAGAACTGGCTGCTGGGGCCTGGGGGGGAGTGTCGGTCCCCAAAACCAGCATTGCAGCGGCCGGGAGCACTCGGCCGTGGAGTGACGCAGCCTTCTCCCAGCTCCTGCTTCTCCTGACATCACTCTGTCATGGCTCGTGTCATCGGCCTCATGATGACAAACGATGGGTACCGGAGCCGCTCTGTTTCCAGGGCAACCCCGCTGCCTCCCCGGCTCCCGCTCCAGCGCGCCGACCGTGCGCCCGCAGCTCCGGCAGCGCTTCCCCGGGGTCCCTCCGTGCCCCGTTACGGTGTCGGGTTGAGCGGAGATGAGCAGCCGGGGTGTGCGTCTGTGCCCTGGCCGCCAGCCCCGGCCTCGCCTCCTGGAGGGCTCCGCCTGGGGACAGCCCGGCGGGGCCGCGGGGGGCTCGTTAAGCCACAGCCCCGAGCTCTTCTCCTATTTATATCCCGCACGGCAGCGCCGCGCCGACCTCCCCCTTCCCGGAGGGGTCTGAACAGGGCCTTCCCACGGGTCCTGCTCCTCCCGCGGCGCCCACAGCTCCCACCTCCACAAGGGAAAAGGCACCCAAAAAGCGGAGGGGCGTCCAAGGCTACGGGTGCCCCTGTAGAGGTGCCCATGTGTTCGCCCACGGTGCGGGTACCCCTGGAGAGGTGCCCGTGTGCTCGTCCACGGTGTGGGTACCCCTGGAGAGGTGCCCGTGCGTGCTCCCACGGGTGCGGGTGGCCTTGGACAGGTGCCCGTGTGTTCGCCCACGGTGCGAGTACCCCTGGAGCTGTGCCCGCGTGTTCACCCACGAGCACCCCCGCAGCAGCCGCGCACCCACTCACCGGCCCGGGGCCGGGGCAGCGGGGCCGGGCGGAGCCGGGAGCCGCCCCCGCCCTCCCGGTAGCGGTGCCCGCCCCGGTCCCGCCCCGCTCTCCGCTCTCCCGGCCGCGCTCCTCGCTCCGCGCTGGCGGCGGCGGCGGCTCCCCGGGGGCGGCGGGGCCCCATGGCCGGCGCGGAGCATCGCGCCCGCCCGCCGGGGCGGTGAGAGCGGCCCCGCGGGACCCGGCGCGGGCCAGCGGCTCCTCGGCGCGGCGCTG